CATCTCAGTCCAAGCACCCCAAGACTCTGTTAGCAAATCTCCTTGCCTAGCAATATTTTGGCCCGTGGGCTGGCTGTTTGTTAGTCACCAGTCACTGGTAAAACAAGAGTTGTGTAGTCTACCCCCTTATTGACAGATATGTTGGAATCAGAACATAAAATATCTACTTCTCAGATTTGTACTCTGGATGGCTCCATAAAGATTTATTCAAAGTTGCTTAACTTAGTCTAATTCAATTTTGCTAAGCTTTGAGGCATTATCTATTCACCAAGTATAAAATTCTTATTTTAATTAAATGGTTCAATGTGATTTCATTAAGCTATATAGTCTTTAGGCCACAGTCCTCTCTACATCCATGAAATACTTCACAGTAGATCAGATATTAGCATTATCAATGTCTTTTCTTATAAGGAAGGCCAGACTATGATTTACTGGTATCTAAAGCAGTATCAAGAACCAGCACCTTCAGCAGATATTTCTCCATTCTGCATGGACTAACAGTTGAATTTCTGCATGGTTAATTGCTTTTTTGTTTGTTTGCTTAACCCTATTAATTTTGTATGTTGTTATTAATTTTTAATTTCATAGTGATTTACTAATGAGTATTACAATTATCTTTATAAATAATTTCTTAGGGACCCTATTTCCTTGGTTCAGTTTCCTAAGGTGATTCTCCATCATGAAAACTTTCTACGTAGCTTCAGAAATAGCCACTTAGCATTTCTGGGAATTGCAAACACGACCATAATAATTTAAGGGTACAGTAAGAAGATCTTCCCCAAGGGGTATTGTAAGCATTGCTAAAAGGGGGACAAATATATTTAAATTCTATCAGCTACTGCCTCTGTAGCAGTTTTAGGCAGACAAAACTGAGAAAAAGGACCCTTTCTGGCCTGAAAGCTCCTACTTATGCTCAATTTCCCTTGTACATCCACAGTGCTGGCAGCGCCTTCAAATCACGTAGGCATGCTGCTGCCTGCATAACCCACTGCTTAAATAGCACCTGCCACAGTCTGAGGAGGCTGTGCAGTGTGAAGGTGTGCTAAGATTGCTCTTCTTGAGTTGCTCACAGTTGGCTACAGCAGCGACAAGGGAAAAGAAGAATGTGTAACCTAGAAACTGGTTCCTAGAAAGGCCACTTATACTTTCCAGGGAAAAGAAAAGTCATATAGACTAATTGGAATATACATTTTCCCACTATAATATTGGCTTCAGCATGAACTTTGTATGGAAATCAGGCAAACCCAGCAGATCTGACACTGTTACTAAAAAATAGGTGTGAGAGGGAAAACTGCACCATCATGTGCACGTATACCCTTACGTTCACTTCATGTGCATAGGTGTAGCATTGAGCAAGGCAGCACTTTATGTGCCTTTATCACGCTTGAATGACCTATTAAGTTACACTTAAAACATAAAGAACATTACTTCTGTTTCAGGAAAAAAATGCTTATCCTTTAGGAAGCCCTCAATAGTTCTTCTTTCTTTTGCATTACAAAAATCCGTCCATTGTATGGATTGAGTTAACATCTATATTTAGCTCTGGTCTGAAACTAGCAACATGCCTTAATTTGTTACTCAGCCTTGGCAAACCCACATTATCACAAAGGTTTCATATACTCCTCCTAGCCACTCTCCATGACATTTGCAGTGCATATCAGAATGAACGAGAGCTTACCTTTTATGTACTGGAAACAAATTATTAGGCAAGCAGCTAAGAGCATTGCTCTATCTCCTTCCCCAGCTGAGATGATTTAATGGGTATGTCTTTTCTGATACATTCAAGCACCCAGTCAAATAGATTAAACCGCAGCTAACCTGGCTTTGAATTTGAAATGGAATACGGGCAAAGAAAGAGGGCTGGCAGCTGGATCCTGGCTTCAGCTGGGAAATAAATGCACAACCTCTGCTGGCTCCTTCCTAGCTGAGGATCACATCTGCTAGTGCAAATGTGGTTGTTGTTTTGGGTTGTTTTTTTCCATTTTGCTTCATTAGCCAGGTTTATGCAGGTGGTTCTGATCTCAGCCAGGAAGGGCAAAAATTAACATCAACCCTTCCACACTTAGACAAGCAACTGCTGCAATCAGTGCTGAGACTGACTTTGAACTGCCCTCTTTCTCCTCTACTGTCTTCCGCTGCTGAGAAAGCCGATAGTCCTCAGTGGACTAACAGAGAGAAGAGTCTACCTGAGTGGCCACTGGTCTCCCTGGAGAATTGCCACATAATGAAGTTAATTTTTCAGTGCTACACTGGAACAGAGCAGATGAGGAACACAGTGGTCTTGACTGGGAAGCAGTGCACATATGACTGGAATGTCCATAAACAAATTGGGCCTAAGATGAAGGCAGGAATCTGTCATATGTTCTGTAAAGTTACGCAAGGATATTTTTCCACCTTATGACACACTTCACTTTTGGTTGTTGCTTCTTCTGGAGGGGAAGAGAGTTCTGCTTTGATTTTTTTTTTAAATTTTGTTTTGGGTTTGTTTTGTTTTTTTTTACCATGACCAGTGATACTGACAAAATAGAAAACCAAGAAAAAAAAATCCTTCAGCACAACGCCTGTGACACATCCCTGGTCTTAGTTCTGGCCTCTTTGTAATCCCATCTCTTTTCTTTTCCTGTGGTTACAATGTATTCCATCTGTACTCCTTTCATTCAGAATCTTTCATTTTGTTAGAGTTCTGTTGTCTGCAGCTATTCTTCTCTTTCTCCTTAGTTCAAACAAACCTGGCAAACTTGTAACTACATAAAAATTATCCACATCAGATCTAATATATTATTTATTGCTCCTTGTTTAGAACCTTGGTATTTTGTGCTGAGATCTCTGTAATAATTCAAGCACACTTGAATAAGGAAAGAGACTCAGATCTTTTATCCTACCTTTCTCCAGAGAGATAAAAAAAAAAGTACAAGGAATAGCCAATGTTTATTGACACTCCAGTTATGCATATATTAACCATTCTAATACTCCTTAGTTGTGCTTTGAAAGAAGAATATACCACCCAATATGAAGAAAGTGTTTCATGCTGAACTGTAATTCTTGCTGATGTGATTCCAAACAAAACAGCTATGCAAGAGACCCAGATTTGATTGATACATTTCTGTCACTCCCTACCATCATGATATATGAGAGAGACTGCGGTTGTCCAAGGCTGCTGAATCTCACAAAAAAAAAAAGAGAAATCTTTGGGGTAAGAACTGGTTAGAAGTAAGAATATGATTCTGACAAAGGCCAGTCAGTTCAGAACTTCTAGTTACAGGGGGTGTACTGAACTGCTCAGAAGAGAATGTAGTGTGTAGGTATCCTTTTGAAAATCCTAGAACAGAAATGTAGGGGGAAATCCTGGCCTTTTCTGAAGCAAACAGCAAAATTCCCATTCACTTTGTTAAACCAGGACTTTATCCCTTGATTGAAACAGAAATCAATTTTGAATCTGGGGCAGCAGATGGCTGAGCCATGATTTGGGACATAGATTTCAGAAGTATAGATAGGGTTCAGAAAATACTAGCATTTAGGAATGGAATGAATATTTGAGCAAACAAACATAAAACTCCTGAGATTGACCATGTAATTTTAAAACTCAACACTATAACTATCAGCTCTCTAAATTTTTTTTTCATACAATGCCTTACTATGATGCCACAGAAAGAACTAATGGCCTGTTAAGGGAACTGTTACAAAAATAATGAAGTTCAGAAGATATTTCCAAGCACTTAACATGCCTAAAATAAAAACATTTCAGTTTGATTTTATCCGAAACTCATTTCTGAGTTTTGTCTTTCTCATTTCTGAGCCTTAACACTACTGTCACAGCATAATACACAATATATTAAGTTAGTGTAGGATAAACTCATAATTAAGTCCATTACATAAATTTTTTCAATATGGTAATTATTATAGTACTATTCATGTGTATCAATTTGCTGTAAAATGGTGTTTCGGCAAATAAAATAGATTAGGAGAATATCTGTAGAAACCTCTGGAAAACATCACCAAAAATTGCATACCACTTAATAATTAACTAGGTATATAGCTTTCCATGTTAAACTTAGAATTTTGAAATACTTTCATTCAAGTAAGGAAGAAATCTGAGATATGAAGACATCTTGCTGTGAGAAACAGTTTTACATATGCACTATTTACAATAACATCATTGCCTTCAGCACTGTTCATATGTGACTAATGTCAGCATTGACCAGAATTAGAAAATATAATCAGACCAGGCCAAGATCTGTGAAATCATCTACAGTTTACAGGATTAAAAAAAAAACAACCACAATCCGGGTAAAAGAAAAAAAAGTGGTTTATTGCATTTCTATGAGCAAATAATTTTTTTTTTGTTCTGGTTTGGTTAAATCAGTGGAAATTACTTGATATCCAGTATTTAGAAAAATTAGGCCATTTAATTCACTTCCTAAGGTTGCCTAAGCTCAAGTCCTCAATTTGTCTTTGAATCTCAGTCATTGTACTTTTGAGCTGGAACAGGTTGAATGGAAATAAAAGGAGAGATTTAGTAAAATCTCCCACTGATAACCTAATGCCCACACTGATCTCACTATATTTTTCCTAAATTCATCGGATTACAAAACTACTAAATTTAAGCTTAAAATTGGACTAAAAGATAAAGAAGAGAGCAAGTCTTTTCTTTGCCTACAGCAGTATTTCAAAACAGTAAGTTGCAAAGCAAGTGGTATCACACAGAGGAACTTTTCTATGTCATAACAAATTACGCTTTTGTTCTTATAAGGCCAGAAGATCTCCAGAGGTTATTAAATTCTTAGATTTTTAGTTTTTCTGTCCCCTTTCTTTCCGTTAGATACTGCTGTTATAATAGGTACTGTGCATATTAAAAATCACTGAAGAGAAATCAAAACATTCATCCTTCATTAGAGAGCAAATATATTTGACAGAGTGTAAATTCTTTGGAGTGTGCACTAGATGTTTACAGCAAAGGAACATTCTGTTTCTACTGAATATTTCTTCTCTGTTATAAAAAGGAAAGTTTACATGTATTGAAGTCCGATTTCACCTTGAGAGGCAGATGGGTTACTATCTTATCCAGATGTACATACCGAGTCTCTTGATCGTCATTCTCTCCTGGGTGTCATTTTGGATCAATATGGATGCGGCTCCAGCCAGAGTGGCTTTAGGCATAACAACTGTACTGACCATGACAACACAAAGCTCAGGTTCACGAGCGTCTCTTCCAAAGGTAGGAAGAATTTCCTTTGTTTGAACCACACTAGTGCAAAGTCATAATGCCATATGACAAATAAACACCTCCAGTCAACCTTACAATATCAGTTTTAATTATTAGCATTTAAGCATCTTCTAAAGAAGATAAATAACTTTGAAATATTTATGGGGTTTTTCACTCACTGGTCACATATGTTCTGTCTCTCCTCTGTCTCAACTATTCAGTCAACCTTGTATCTAATAAATTCCATAAACTTCAGCAAGTGATGAAAGCAATGCTATTCAGTACTAGAAAAATATTGCTCAGCAGCTGAGTAGCTCATCCTATTCCAGACCCCATTATCTGGTAACATGCTAGCAGGTATGGCTGAATTTCTAAAGGTCATAGATTCCAGCCTGTTCTCAATGAAATTCCTTTCCCAAATCTGACAACTTTATGAATTAACTCACTACTTACAAGTGGTAAAGAAGAAAAAGATGAAGCTAAATAGCTCCAAACAATTGTATAAAGAATTTTCACTCCACAATGTAAGTAGCTTGGAGTGTATTTCTATTATTAACTATTTAAATTTTCTGACTTGTCATTGCTTTAAAGGTTTACTTTTTTAAGGGTTATTCCTTGACCATCTTCATGCATCACTGTATTTAATAGAAATGAATGTATACAATAAAAATATACAAAGTTCACTTCTGCATTAATTTTAACATGTTATTTTTAGGTTTGCTAATTAATTTTTTCTAAGTAAAATAGATACCCCTAACAGAGGTGAGTGTGCTTTGTGCCTCAAATGTATGAATCTGAATGCATCTGATTGAATGCTATAAAAACTCAGAGAAGCAAGAATTTAAGAGGTTACCAGAGAGCTACAGATGTTTTTTGTCACATTTTTGAGGCCTGAAGCTAGCTATGTATGCTTATATGAAAAAACTCTTGCAAATCTGCACACAGAGAGGGAACAGGCCCTGATTTCCTAGTTCAGATTACATCCTGTGGCTGAGCTTGGCAATAAAGGATTGCAATGAGTTCATCTACTCTGTAATTGATTTTAATTACTTTGACTGTGTCAAAATTACAGGATGAATTTGAGCATTTATCTTTGCTTTATCATGCCTATATTAACAGAGAATGAGCATACCAGCATTCTCCAACTATCCTCTTTCTTCTACCTAATTTCTATTCCAGGAACTCTAAATAAGATCCATTATAATACAGGGACTCCCCTTGGCCCCACTTTAAGCTATTCTCTGGTTCCTTAGCATCGTTCACAGATCTCAGTGGGACTAATGGAGGAAGAGCATATGCGTCTTGTGGATTATTTGGTTTGTGATAAAATACTCAGTATGCTATGAGGAGCTGTTAATGACGTAAACAGTAAAGACATTTTGTGAAAGACTACATTTTGAAGAATAATGCTTACAGACTGAATTGGTGTCCCTCTTGTTATGCAGCTTTCATGTTAAGTTTTGTTTGATAAAAGTAGTGTTGGGATGTGTTAATGCACTTCCTCTTGGCATGAAATGCTTAAATTCTCACCTGTGGTTTTAACATATTCAGTCTCCTGCTCTATTCTCTCCATAGGTGTCATACGTCAAAGCGATTGACATCTGGATGGCTGTGTGTCTGCTCTTTGTATTTTCTGCACTTTTGGAGTACGCAGCTGTAAACTTCGTGTCAAGACAGCATAAAGAACTTCTACGATTCCGCCGCAAGAGAAAGAAGAACAAGGTGAAAGTGACAATATTCAGAACTTTCAAAGGGAGTCTGAGATTGATTTATGCCAGGATATAGGGTTAATTTGGTAAACGGTACTGCAGCTTAAAGTGGCAATATAAATACCATGGCAGCACAGAATGAAATTCACTATAGGCAGAGGGTCACTACAAGGACTATGCACTGCATAAATCCAACCTGAATTCTCGAAAGAGGGATTAAGAAGGATTTAAATGAGGCATGGGCCATGTGGGAAACATCTGCACAAGCATGAATTTGACTCTGTTAGGAGAGTTACATTATACTTCAGTGGATGAATGTTACTGATACTTGCAGTAGTTTGTACTGCATTGCTCCAACGAATGTTTCCTAATTTCATTCTAATATTTAGTTCAAGGTCTTAACAATTGTATTTCATGAAAATGTCTTTTAATACAAAAACATACTTATTCAATTAATATTATTGGTGGAAGAACAAACATTTCATTTCAAAAGGCTAAGAATTTGTTGTGTTTTTTTCCCTCTGTCACGTTAATCTAGTGTAAATTTTTCATACTACTATTAAGAAACTTTAATACAACAAAGGTTATTAGTATTTATTTTATAGCTGAAGCTATCTGGACTAAAACTGAATCACTACCAATGCCCAAAATCAACAGCTAAGGCTACAGGTTTGAATTCTGAAGTCCACAGTTACATCAAGCAATAAGCAAAATTTCTTCCATCAGTATGTAATTTCTGCTTCTGAGTTCTGAAGAGTAAATATTTCTCCAAGCTCCTTATTAAATGAGTACCCACAACTGACATCATGCAGAGCCTTTCCACTGGCTTTCAGCTGCTCTCTAGAATATTACTCTGGATGACAGTCTGACTGTAGCAACATGCCTCAGTTCACCTGTCTTTCATTCCTGAAGACTTACCTCGATTTATTGCTTACATCACAAGGAGAAGGCATTTTACAGGCTATTTCCCTTTTACTTAAAAAATATTAAAAATTTGTAATGTTGTAAAGCCTACCTAAACAGTCTCTGCTAGCAGGACTCCATATTAAAAGGCAGGCTGCTCAGTCCAACAAAAAAGACATTTACATACATTTGCCTCCTTTCAACACTTGTCCCTGTGAAAAATTTTCTTTTTCCTGACAGTAACAGAAAAAAAAATACTTTTTGAGACACACAGGAGGAAAGCAGCGTTGTTGTGACACGGTGTTTGTTTTTGAAGTATGGCAGCTCTTTGAAAGCTGCTTAAAGATTTGGAATGGGGGGAAATGGACAGGCAGAGATGGATAACTGGACAGGAGGCAGGTGAGCAGCAACAAATAGATCATGTATCACACACAAACAGCTGTGGTGAGTCATATGTTATGTGCCTATACTTTTAGTCTATTCTTTTTATGGTGTATTAGAGTGTCTCCTGGAACTCAGGTAAATTTACCATATTCAACTTTAGTGATATTTTTTCACTTCCTTAAATACACAACAATTATTATAATCACAGGGTTAGAAACTGGCAGGTAATACTACCTTCCTTCCTCCAAATCAAGTCAAATCTCTTTTCAGCCCACTCTTAGCAAGATTTCAAGCTCACCAGAGATGTTTTTTCCGCAACTAGAATCAATCAAATTTCAGCCTAGAGGTAGTTAAGGAAGGATCCACAATATTCAAAGCACTTCTAAGAGAAGAACATTTAATGAAATACTACAAACATGAATAGTTTCATTAGCAAGTGTCTTGCTGAATCGATGCTTGACATCATAGTATTTTTGAATTCACAAGTAAAAGTCCTTATTCTAACTTTACACTTCTAGCTTCAGGTAGGTTGCCTGCAAAGTTTTCACAAATTTAGAGGGCCACATGTAGAAACTGCAGGGTCTATAGTAAACAAGTACCTCTCTTAAGATTCTAATGGATTAAGACATTTCCATACTTGTACAACATGCTCAAATGAGGTTATTAACTATGTTCAGGGGGGATATGTCTTTCTCTTCCTCTTTGTACCTGTATATTTCATCATGAGACAGGTTTTCTCACTTAATTTTACTGGAAAATGCTTTGTTCCCATGCAAGGTTATGATTCTGAGAAATAGACATTTTTCTGAGAATATTAATTTAACTGAACATTTCTTGACTGACTCCAATTCTACGTAGAGCTAGAGCTCCTGGCCAGAGTTAACTTTGGAGAATACATCTTCTCAAGCTCTAGAGACACTGCTTTATTAAACCATTGCTTGGCCAGCAAGCATACTAGAACATGAAACGTTTCAGCATGGAGATTTTATCTCTTAAAAAATTCTGGACCACATTCTAAACTCTCTGGTATATAAATAATAAAATTATGTTTTGTACATTAAAGAAAACAGTTAATATTCGCAGTCCTTAGCATAAATGTTATTCTCCACAATTTCTAACACGAAATGCAGGTCCCAGGATCATATGTCAGATTAAAAGTGGAAGGAAACACAAGTTATCTTTTTTTAAAGTCAGCTACTGTAGCTGATTATTATAAAGTTTTATATGTGTTTGCTATCCCTTTGGACTAGGTCAAACAGCCACCGGCTCTCAGGAATTAGAATGTATTGACCTTTTAAAACTTCCATGTATAAAGAAATGTTCATTTGACGACAAAGTCAGAAGACATGAAAAGAAGCTAGGTTAAAAGGCTGTGTTTAAAATAAACTTCAGGGGTTTCCTTGAACATTAAATCTTTTTTCTTTTCAAGGTGAAAACCGCTATTCTGTTCAGCACTTATGTCCAAATAGATGAGAAAAATAAAGCAGTTAAGATAACTTAATAGACTTTTTCACCCTATATGCTTACCATCTTGGGACATTATACTAGGATTAGGTTTTTCTACCTGGTGAACTTTTTGGCATTGACACTTTATCTGCAAGGGTACGGCAAAATTCCTAGTGTTGCAAAAGTCCAAAACTAGACGAGTTTAGAAATGTTTCAAGTATATGACAGAAAACATGCATAAATAATAACTAATTGCAATAGGGCAGCTGAAGAGCTTGCAAAGTCTGTTTTCTTTGCAATTAAAAAGATATGCTTGTTGCAGGAAATATTTACTTCTATGAAGTAACCCTAGTTAATGGTCAGACAATGGAATTTCTGTGCTAGAATGCCCTTGGGAGGTTAACAAATCCATTTTCCTGACCTAAGTCAGAATCACTTACACCTAATTCAGGCCAGTCATAAAAATTCCACAAGCTCCCCTGCAATCTATTCCAAAGGTTTAGAAAGTTTTTAACTCATGCCTTTTTTGGTGTCTCACAACTTGTCTAGAAAAGGGCACAGAGAACAAACTACTTCATTCCTTTATGTAGCAATTTGCTCATTTCCATTCAATCTTCTTTTCTTTAAATATTCACAGTTGGCACTGTCTTTTTGCTCATTCTCATTCTGCTTCCCTGGAAATTCTCCTAATAAACCCTTAGAATTCCTCAAAACTGTTTGCAACATGAAGCATAGCCAGTCAACACTTGAGAACAGCCAAAGGACCACACGATGCAAGTAATACACTTGTTTATTCAAACCAGCCTGCCATTTCCCTTTTTAACAACAGCATAATATTCATCCATATCAAACTCATGACCTTTTGAAACTCCCAGAACTACTGCAGAGCCATTCATTTTCCATCTTACTTTTGTGGCGTTGATTATTCATGGCTAAATGTAGTACCTTGTATCTATACCTACTGACTGTCCTGTATTTTTCAGACTTTCTGTCCAAGACAATTAATTCAATTTTAACACTCTGCATATCCTCAAACAAATTTCCAGGTTTTCCCAAGTTGGAGTCCTTTGTAAATTTATTTAAACCTGTGTTATTCCTTCTCAATGCTGATTAAAAACACAGGAGAACTGAAATTTCTTTCTTAAAAAGCATGTGATCAAACTCAAATAAAACCCCTGCAGAAAACATGTGTAGCAAACAAAATAAGAACTGCTGAGTTTTCTGGAAAATTATACATTTATACAAAATGCAATTATGTACAGAGCTGTATCAAGACATTTTGCCGTTCAAAGCTCATCTATCCTTGCCATATCCCTTATGCTTTTTCCACCTAGAGTCACTGCCTCTTTTTTACACCATCTAGTATATTTGCAGCCTCCCTTCTCAGACAACAGTAACAGCAGCACCAAAAGCAATTCTTAGGTACAACTGCACCCTCTGGCTACCGTTTTTATGATTGTAAGTATGGACCTCAACGATTCCAAATAACTGAAAGGCAGATTTATTTTTAGAGACCCGATCCAACTTGCACAAAATTAACAAAAATGTTGAAGTGTTTGGGTTTGTGTTATAAACACATGCATAAATTAAAACTGTTATTGCAACATAATATGCAACCTAATAATTACTTTTTTTCAATAGGCATCACAATAGGTATAGCAAATTTTTCAAAACAGGTCTAATTTCTTCATGATTACACAAATAGCATAATTAAGTCTGAGAACAGGGGAATTCTGGTTTCCAATTTGAGACTTTATTTGATAGTCAGTTTGTGATCCACAGTGCTTTGCCTCTGTCAGAGAAGGGAATCTGGCCGAGGAATACTATTATCTCACATATATTATATTACTAATGTGATGGAAACATTCCTTCAGAATGACTGAATATTAATTATTCATTTACAGTTACACTCATTTCAGTCTTGAAAGACAAAAGAAAAAATGGCAGAATTCGAAGTCATACAGGGATACTGAAACATACCTATGATCAGTGGTTTTTTTTCTTAGTTGCATTTACATTGTATGGGGAAAAACATTAACTGGGTACATACACTGAATAATGCTTTGATTTTAGATTATCTTTTAATATATTTAGTTCTCAGGAATAGTCAATCTTTTAAGTCTATTTTCAAAAATCTAAAGATCACCGTATCTTTAGTGAGGAAAATAGACATGAAAATTAGATTGTCTTTAATGGTAATCACACCTTTTTTCTTTTGTTTTCTTTTTGGTCAACCCATCCGTTTTGATGAAAGTATTTTGAGGGAGTTGATGGAAATGAAATCAGTGAATCATTGCAGCATAGCAATGGCTTGAGATGTACAGGACCTATAGACGGGACTTTGCCTCAAATCTACAGTACAAATTTAAGGGTAAACTATGAAGAAGATGTCCCATTTGTCATAATGTGATACCCAATCATTAACAGAGGCCCTGTCCTTCTGTCTGAAATAATGTCTTCCCATGTGAATTCCATATACCTCCATTGCTACCTATATGTGATGACGTGAAATGTTAATAAAGATACCTGTCTTGTTAATTTCTTAATCCAATTTGATCTGTTTAAATCTGGATTAAAACACAGTATTAAAATTTTACTTTTTGAAACCTCAAAGGAACAGTGATATCTGTTCAAGGATAAATCAGTTGCTAACAAATCAGCATTTAAAACTAAGCTATTTGTAGTGCAAAACAATTCAATAAAAGTTTTCTTCTCAAAAATGGACAGTAAAAACTATGGTTCAAATAACCAAAACCAATGCTTCAGATAAATCTTCAAGCTGTTACCACAACCTGTGATCAAATGGCAATGGACATATTTTCAGCTCATATGCCTATTAGTCCCCAAGAGAAATGCATTATTTGAAATATAGGCAGAGAACAATGTAGTGACAGGACCACAGAAACTGACAGCTTTCTCATAATTTATAGCTAAGTATTTTGTAGGACGACGCTAATACAAAAATAAACTAATTGTTTCTTTCAAGAGTCCAAAGAATTCTGATTTTTTAAATAAATTTTGTTATCTAAGCTTATTTCTATTCTTTAATTGCAGTAATTTTATTGAGAATATAATATATATTCTGCATGCAGAATAACTTTCAAGTTGTTAATTCCAAAGTCATGTATGAAAAGTGCATTCATATTGAACCTTCATTAAAGTTCATTCATAATAAGATTTTAAAAGCTTTATTAAAAAGACCAAAAAAAACAGCTACCTTATTACATTTTAAAAAAATAATAATAATAAACTAAAGGACTTTTTCAGGAAGATTCACTGTCCAGATTCTCGACTGGGACATAGAAGGTGTTTTCATGAGATAATGTCAACAGCTCTGGACTCAGACTGCAGCCAAGTCAGTTGATAAAACCAAATGGGGTGTCACTGGCATTTTTTAAAAAAGCCTTCAAGAAAGCACTCAAAAGTTGATATAAGTAATAGCAGTCACTGCATTTTTACTGCTGTGCAATAGCACTTTCAGATACAAACCTGAGGCCAAATTTGTGATACTTCTGCATTTTGAACCTGCTGGACAATTTGCAGAACCACAGTTTGGATATTTCAGCTGGCGCTCCAGGAAAAAAAAAAAAAAAAAAGAATTATAGCGGTACCTGACATGTTACAATGCTTTGGAAGGTGCCCATTCCTGTATATGCATTAGCCTTAGCACTTTGGTCTGACCTACAATGCTCCAACCATCCTGCCTGTCCCTGTGGAAACACCATCCAGACATGGACAGAAATTCTAGAATCCTAGAAGGACCTCTAGATCATTTCCTCAACAACAGAGAGCATTTCCAAACAGCCTGCTCGCAGACTGAATTCAAGATGTCTTTAATAAGCAGAGACCTGACCTTTAAAACCATTTAGGGGATTACTCAGTTCAGGTAGGCAGAGAACCAAGACAGGCGAGTCTTAGTATATAGTGCCTCATCCTCAAAACGCACCCAGTTGAAAGCTGCTACTCAGAAGAATTATTGTATTGCCTCTTCGAGTCTGTGCAATCCTAAGCATTATTTTCTGGAAAAGCATGAAAAGACTTAAACCCCGAATTGTACCTACGAAGGTGCTTACATGGCAAATTTAACATAAATTCTCACAGTCCATGTATTTATAACTTCTGACAACCATGCAACTACTGTAAAGATGTTATTCCTCATTCTTTTCTGAAAGGAGATGAACACTGTTGTAGTAATTAGGTCTTTCTTTTATCACGTCATCAAATAATGATCTTGTCATTTTGTATTTCTGTTATTCATTTCCATACTGCAGTCAGTGATTTTTCCCCCTCCTTTTATTTCATGTTAATTTCTCTTTACTTTTTCGGTTTTATAGGAGAATTCCAATACAGTTCTGAGTATAATAGTTTCAGTGAACTATATTAGTCTTCAGGTTTACTCAATTTCCATATATGAAAAAGTATTGCAGTTGGGAGTTAACCACAGCTCTGTTGAATGCTCATACTGATTGCCAACTGGTTCATACTTAGTAATCGATCCACATTCTTTTGTAAATAATTTGTTCAGCTACTACTGATAATAAACACTGGGACTTTTTTAAAGTAATTAACAATAGTTCTTCTAGCAAGCATTACGTGATCAAAACTTTAAATATGGTTACAATTAACGCTCCAGTCCAAAATATTTTCAGATTTTCCAAATGTCACAGATATTTTCAGAATGAAAAATTTGGTAGCTTGGATTTAAACTGTGTTCACTGATAAATTATATTTACATAAAGAAAGAGGTTTAAATAAAACAAAAAACTTCAGAATTACTGAACTGAAATACTAATTATTTGGTGCCTTGGTAATGTTTTAGCCTTTTATTTTAATTTAAGCTAGGAAGAGCTTCAAAACATGAAAAATTCTCTTAGAAAATGAAAATTGAATGCTGCTTAATTATTTTTTTTATACTTATGAAAATTATTTTCCAAAATACTTAGTTATGAAATAATATATACATAATACTTTAACATACTTCATTAAAGTCCAGAATGCTAAAGCAACTATGCTAAATTAGACATGACAAATAGAAAATCTTGAATTTAGAATCAGTACTGAAAAAAATGTGAATGACATCAAAACAGCATGACTATCCTTGAATAGTATAATAGTAAAGGAATGCACTGGAATATATTTCAGAATGAAATTTGGCCCTGGCTTCACTGTCTACGTAACCTTCTTTATTATTTGAGAATACCTATAAGCAGGTAAAGACAAGTACAAAATGTTTTTCTGCAGAGAAGCTCCATTTTTGAAATGTACACTATGAAAATATCTATATCTTCAGGCCCTCTGCTGTTGTTTCTTTTCCAAGTGATTAAAAACCATTTTGTCTTATAGTTCCCTGAATTCAGAATGTCTTTTCCAGTCTTCCCCTGAGTTGACAGAAGAATGCAAGAGAAGAAAAATCTGTCCTTAACCCTTATTCACTTTATTTTAAACTAAAACTAAAACACTTTAGATACTGTTCTCCTTACCCGATGTATCCACAGGAAATGGCAGAAAGAAGGCATACGGATAAGATTAACTAAATATACAATGACCAAATAGGCAGAATTCTCACTAATATAGTTAATGTGAACATCACTAGAGCTTGTAAGATTAGTATCTCTAGAGGCCAGGATCCCTTTTTGTTAAGCAACATACAGAGCCGATGGCTAAAAGACCATGTAACTCGTGTGAAATTTGCTCCATTAAAGAGTCCAGATATTTACAGTAAATGGGGAAAATTAAAACAAATCTGCAGTTTTGTGTCTGATTGCTAGTAGTTTACTAAGCTTTCAATTTTCTCTAATTAGATTACAGAATCTGTAAACAAATAAGAAAATCCTGTGCTTGTTATAGCAGCTGTGATATTTTTGACAGACACTGATTGGGCTGAAATTTCAAACAGTTAAGATAAACTGTGGATTCAAGAAGTCACTGAAGTAATGGTGCAGTACTTGCTATTTAGCTGCTGGTAAGATTTCTGCAAATAAAAAAAAACCCTTCTGGCTTTTTTTCTTTTTTTAACAGGATGATGATGTAAGGGAAAGCCAATTTAGCTTTACAGCGTATGGAATGGGCCCATGTCTGCAAGCAAAAGATGGCGTCACACAAAAGGGGCCAAATAATCCTGTTCAAGCTGTACCAAAAACCCCTGATGAGATGAGAAAAGTATTCATTGACCGGGCCAAGAAGATAGACACAATATCTAGAGCGTGTTTCCCGTTAGCCTTTCTGATTTTCAATATTTTTTACTGGGTAATTTACAAAATCATCAGGCACGAGGACATTCACCAATAGCAAGATAAAGGCTTGCAGTACACACAGATCTGGCTGTTGTGTTCAACAAGACTCTTTCTGTTAGAAATGCACATTGGAGGAGTGATTGGGAGAGGTAAAAGCATTGAGGGGGGGAAAAAAAATGATCCTGCATGGCCTGCAACACCCAGTCACAATGGAATGGAAGATGGACACCCGGAAAAGATACATGTGCTATGGCAAACTTTTCATGTCAAACTAAATATTAACAACTTTTTCATTGTAAATCACTCTGTACTGAAGCTTTACTGCCAAGTATTTATACATACTGTTACATAGTGGTATAATTGTACAGTACTCTTTGATGTTCTTTTTATTTTTTTAATTCTGGTGTATTTTTAGTTTTAAAAAAATGGATTTGTAATGCTCTAGGTAAATCCCACAGTATTATAGGATAGATTTGTAATCTTTATTTTAATTTTACACAATGACAAAATACTGATTTGAGATTACAGTTTTAAGGACTTTTTTTTTGTCTTAAGGACAGCACCTGTGGTTTTGCAATGAGCGCATTTGACACATTTAAGTTATATAATTTATTCAATGTACTTCATATGACCGTTCCCCTGTAAAGTGTGTGTTGAAATACTCTCAGACAGCACAAGGTATCTACAAGTCTAATAGTCTGCATATCACGTGTGAAACATTGAAATTTGTGAGGTATTCCTGCAAATTTTTTTTCTTTTAATTATCTACATTTTGATAATTGAAACTCACAATATTTTTAATCCTTTTTATATTTTTGAAGGTTATATTTTTTTCCTCTATTGATAAAACTCATATAGCTTGTGAGATAGGCAAACTACATGAAAATTTTGCAATGCTTCATTTTGACTCCATGTAAAGAGATCTCTGGCCAAAACTAAAAACAAAGAGTCAACTGCTTCACAGTAACATTTGAAGGACAAGTCCACCTGTGTTTAACCACATTTATTTCTACATGTTACATAAATACAGGAAGTTTAATTTATGAATATATCAAGTTTTCTGATTCATTCCTTGAAGTCTATTGATACGACTTAGATACTACTGAAGAAGCACTTCACAATTTTGGAAAAACACACAGCTCTTCTAAAACACAAAAAAAAGGACCTGGATGGTCTTAGATATTTGCTGTACTTCACTATAATAAATAGAAGTGCAACTATTAAAACTCTTACAGAGATTTTCCCTGTTTAGGATTAAATAAGTCATATTAATTGCTTCTTTGAATTGTAACACAATAGATCACATTTACAGCCTAGCTTGTACACAAGAGCGTTTACTTTTGCCAGTCTCGTCTGTGGAAGACAAGAGCATGTTAAGGTATGGAAATCTGACCTTTAGAATCGCTAGATACTTTAAGTCCAGTAGCTGAGGCTCACTGTGAAGTATTTTTATTTCGGACATGGCTTAAATTTTTAGTTTGCTGCTCAAAATGTGTATACAAAAGAAAAATCAGCTGGAGGCGAACATGTGGTGCACTGCCACAGGCACAGTGCATAAGAAGTAACAGAAGCAATGTAACTGCACTGAGGGTTACCACACAGAAAACTTGGGTTTCGTTGGGTTTGTTGTTGTTTTCCTCCAAGGATTGTGATATGAAATTAATCCATTTCACTTTAAACAATTATTGTTTGCTGAGGTTGCATCTTGGTTTTGTTGATTTGTTCGCTTACGAAGGTGCTCATTGGTGTGAGGGGATATTGTGAACTAATGGTTGACATTTCAGTTGGGCTATATTCATCTCTCTCAAAGTTCACATCAGCTGTATTGTGTGGAAAGGGATGCTTACTTGCTTCTGCTATGAGCAAAGTCAAGAGTATTTTGTTTAAGGACTGTTTGAAATAGTGGACCCATATTCAAGAGGCAGCATGAAAAAAAATATTATCTTTCAGGAACATCTCTCTTCTTGCCTTCTGAAATAGCCGATTTGTGTTCAATAAGTGCATTTTTAAAAAAATTTTTTAAAAAAAACCAAACCTGCTGGGCATACCAGAATAACACCTGGCTATTCTAGTTTATAATATTTGAAAACGTTAAAAATTTGAGCTAAACAAATTTAGCCCTAATTTCTTTCTTCACTCTTTAAGGCAGAAAAAGCCTATGCTCCCAAATAAAGAAGTCAGACAGGAAATCTTGAAAGTGATAAAAGATAGAATGGATTACAATACTGGCAAAATGTAACAGGGAATCAGAAGGAGGGCAAATTATTAAGCAAGATTACTCATATATGAACATAGTGAGGAGGAAGAACTCTTGTGCCACATTTCTCTTTGAATAGAGTATGCTAATCTAAGAAAAAATTACAGCATATAGCATATAAAAAATAAAAAGCATTAATCTACATTAAAAGGAGGTCTTTTCTGACCTCCCTAGTGGATCGTTACCTAAATGTTCTACTGAAAATAAACAAGGTCTGTAGATTTAGTGACTGAGTCTAATGTCTAGTGTAGCCTCTCAGGATGCATCTCTTCAGCCAGGCACTATGGTGAGAGAGAAGAGGATCTCAGACATGGCCAATGGAAAGTATATCCCTTCTTCTCTGTAGTTATATTTCTCTTTCATGGGCTGTTACATTAGGAAATGTAGCATACCCTGCTTCCATATTGAAAATTTACATGTAGTGCTGAGACTTCTAGCAGGCCACATTGAAAATAAAGAGAATTAAATATGTTTAAAACATCATTTTGAAAGCTCTACAGTGTTGCTGGAACATTTTTTTAATTATTATTTAGCAATCCATTAATACTAAACTATTTCAAACAGTGGTGAAAAGTAAAATGTGGTTCCATGATGATGTGTTCAAATGCACATAACATTTGGCATGTCGAATTTTCTGTTTTGATGTAACAAAAGCCTCTATAGTCCACTAAATGTGCTTTTCAAAAGGAAGCAGAATTTAAAATTTGTTTCATGCAGATTATTCCTAAAAGACTTACTACAGAATCGCATCATAAAGGGAGAGGAGCGCCATTTGTGACGATAAGAAATTTTAAGGCACAAATGCCTGCGACTCATCACTGACTAGACGAAAAGCCCAAAAACGCCAGCACGCATGCCAGCTCTCTATACAAAGCCAGAATCAATAGATACTGGCATCAGCTAAGACTGTGGGAGATGATCCTTTAATAACTGTATAATGAAGTAGCAGGGAAGAACTTTAAGAAGATGCAAGAACTGAAAGGCAGAAGCAGCAGCGGTGAAGAGGACTGACTTTTTTCTCTATAATGATAACAAACCAGAGGGTGCTTGAAGGAGAAGAGATACTAGTGTTTTACTATTTAGAATTTAGCTATTTTAACACAAAAATAAAGCACATTCTACCATCAAGGAGTTTTAACAGCAGGCACTATTATTTATGCAGGGTAGTGGAATTCAGGAAGGACATGGGATTTCATTCTTTTTTCAGCTCAATCATATATTAGTTTTCTTTGGATTCTCTTCATTAGTTTGTTTCAAAACCTTTTTATAGACTGCTTTATAAGGAATGCTTTATGATGTGTGAAAGATGATTCTGTTTACTCAATAGAAAGACATATTTAGGTGATTTAAATGTGCATTTTATAATTAAAGAGTAAAGTATTGCTTCTACTTTGTACTATAATCCCTTACAGAACTGTAGGTTGATAATGTAGATAAAAATAAAACATAATAAACTGTATAAACCCTTATATTTTTAGCAGTAGAGAAAAATAAAATGTCTTCCTTTATCTTAAAAAAAGTATTATTTTTAGCAATAATTTTATATTAGATGGATATTAATTTATTTATACAGTTCCCAGCCCCGGCTGAGATGTTTGGTTGCAAAAGATAGATATACTTAATGTGCAACTTCTGCTCTCATTTGAGCTGCCATAGGAATTAATCTAATCCAACAGAGCAGAATTTGGCCTTAAACTGAAACTGCTGGATAAGCTATTCCTACAGTACCCCTGTGAGGTAGTAAAATAACTGTATCCCTGTCTTACTGTACAATCATATGGTTATTTAGATGGGAAAAATATCAGATCATCACTGCTATTCTTTTTGAGATAGCAAGAAGAAAAACATAAATCACAAATCAAACTACCTGTTAATAACAAAATGGGTATCCTGTTTTGGAGTGGTTACTGAAAAGGTGCCTTCAGGCAACACCCATCACCTACAGTAGTTACAGAAATACTATCAGTTTGGAAAGCTTGTGGAAGCCGGTTAGGTTGCTAGAAGCAGTGGGTTAAATGCCAGGAAAATGTTGGCTCATCCTGTATTCTTGACATTCTTAAATATTACTGCACTACTTCACTTTCATCTTTGTGAAATATGCAAGAAACATTTATGTTTGTATTTTAATGTATGACAGATTAATATTAACAGATGAAATGGACTAAAGTAGCTACCAATGTTTCATGAATGTGTAATTGTGAACTGTATAAAAAGAAATTGTGTCATAAGCTTTTGACATAAAGGTTTAACATAATATACAGTATTTTATGTGTTAGTGATCCTGGCTTTTTAAAGGCTACAGCAAGAAAAAAGAAAAAAATGTAATATGATAGCGTATTAATAACATGTCTGTGAATTTTCAAAATATTCTCCTGTGAATTCTGTCTGATGGTAATTTCATCTCAAAGTATTTCCTTTTTGGTAAATCTCTATAAATGTGTTGTGCATGGATTTGATTAAATTCCTTTTTATTGTGTTACAGTATCATACTACACTTAAATTGACATTCTCTGCAGACAGAAATGTTAAAATATGTGAAATTTATAGTGTCAATCATGTCATTGTAGATATTTTGTTCAAAAAAATAAACTTAACTTTTTTCAGGAACAGTGCAATTATTTTTATGATATTTTAGTCGATGAGTTCAAAGTTGCAGGAGAGACTATCAAGACCACTGGAAAAACGGTTTAAACCCTCAGCAGTACTTAAGTTGCACTACCATTAAATATTTCAGGAGTGAAAATTTGAGAGAGGAATAAAGTGCCTTCAATTGTTATATGATTCAGATTAATCCTCAAAATATTTTAACTGCATTAATGAAACATATGAAGAGGTGTTTTCAGAGAGCGTGATGGAGCATGGTAGGCACTGAATTAGGAGTTTGATCTTCCAAGACTT